TGAAATACCACAATCAGGATAAAAGAGATTGAAAGTACGCATAAACAAGAAAGACCAACCCTAAATCCTGCAATTCCCAATGCAAAAAATCCTGAACACAAACACACAAAAGTCTGACAAAACCTTCAACCCCCTAAACCCCAAACCCTAAACCCTAAACGCTAAACCCTAGGAGGTCGGGTGCCCGGCGTCGCTCTGCAGCCGGGGAATCTCGGCCAAGGCCTCTGCGGAAAGAAGCGCGCCTGCGAAGACACGTGGGATCTTACGTAGAGCTTATGTGGATCCTAAAGAATCTACTCTTTTAGGGTTCCTGTACTATGATTGACTTGTACAAATCCTGAAAAAGGTAAAGTCTTCAGGGTTCAGGTAGGGCTTAGTGTCTTGTTTACGGTCTCAGAGGTTTCATTTTGGCGCTTGTTTCGGGTCTGGATGTAGCCTGAACGTTGCTACCTGAACCTCGAGATCCCTTCAACCTGAAAGACGGAACCGTGAGAGCCGTAACCCTGGAACTAAGAATAATGTAGGGGCCTTGATAATTAGAATAAGGTTTTGGGGCCCTGTATTCTATACTTATAATAAGGAGCCCTCAACATAGTGTAGGTAATTATTTAGGCCCCCTATAGTATGCCTCTTATGAACTCAGGAGTTTGATGCGAAATATTCTGTTCTAATATCTTGGTGCACATCCGAAATCCAGAACTTCTCCCCCCGTCAAGGCCTTCGTCGAGGCACCTCTGCGCCACTTCTGGGAGGACCTGCAGGAGACTTTGTCCTAAGTTTAAACTATGAGCCCCGAGCCCTAAACTAAAACCCTGAGCCCTAAACCTAAACCCAATCAGTCCTGCAGCCTCTGCCCTGAGCCGTAAAACTAGTTAGGAACCGGAGGAGGTTGAAGTTGAGAAAAACGGCAAACTTCGGAGCATAGGGCTTTACAAGGTGTAGGGTTTAGGTTTCAATAAATTACAGGGGGGTGCAAGTTCAACATGTCTTGGTGGAGGTCATGGTGATAACTTTCTGTGGAACTTGATAACGTTCTATCGGGTTTAGGGTTCAAGGCAAATGGGCTTCACGTCCAAATTTTCAGACTCAGAAAGCAGGTTTGGGGTTTAGGGTTCAGGTTAGGGTTTAGGGTCATGGTTCAGGGTTTAGGGTTTAGGGTTTATGCGGAAAGCTTTTCTGCAGGGGCCTGCATAGTGTTGAGCGTCAGGGCTCATGCTGAGAGCCAGACACAAAAGATTACGCGGCATCTCTCAGCTACTCAGGCGGGAGCCTCGAACATAAACCCTAAACCCTAAACCCTCAACCCTAAACCCTAAAACCCATTTTCTACCCTGAACAGTAAACTGTAGTCCGTAGGCCATTAAGCTGTAGTCCTCATAGGCCTGACCCACGATTAAACCGAACCTCTGCACCGGCATCGTTGAGGTTTAAACCCCCCACAAACACATGGGTAGGTTTGAAAGGATAGGGTCCCGTTTAGGATTTAATTCTTAAGCCCTAAACCCTGAAGCCCCTAAACCCCTGAAGCCCCTAAACCCCTGAGCCCGAAAACCCGCCTGGAAGTGCTCCCCCAGCACCCGAAGGCCCATGTGAGGAGGGAGCGTTCCGTCCTTCGGCAAGGGCCGGCTCGTGGTAGGGTTTAGGGTCGCGTAAAGGAGTTTAGAGTTTAGGAGTTTAGAGTTTAGAGTTTAGGTGTTTAGGGTTTAGGAGTTTAGGGTTTAGGAGTTTAGGGTGTAGGAGTTTAGGAGTTTAGGGTTTAGGAGTTTAGGGTTTATGGGGGTCATTCACCCGGACGCTCCCTTGACGTGGTGCGTGAAAATAGTATCCTAAACCCTAAACGGAACCCTACTTCCTAAAAGGAACCCTAAACCCTATAGACCTAAACCCTAAACGGAACCCTAAACCCCGAAAGGAACCCTCAACCCTAAAAGGACCCCTAAACCCTAAACCTGAACCCTAAGCGGAACCCTAAGCCCTAAACGGAAACCTAAACTCCAAAAGGAACCCTCAACCCTAAACCCTAAACGGAACCCTAAACCCTAAACGGAACCCTAAACCCCAAACGGAACCCTACACCCTGAACCCTAAACGGAACCCTAAAAGCCTCCCCGCAAACCCAGCGGAAAGAACCTTTCATCCTCCGGCTCGGATTCTGGCGGGGGTAGCTCTCGAAATTAGGATCCCCGTTTGGGGGTTTAGGGTTTTAGGCTTTAGGGCGGGGTAGCTCTCGAAATTAGGATCCCCGTATGGGGGTTTAGGGTTTAGGGTTTAGGTTTTTAGGGTTTAGGGTTTGGGATTTAGGCACCCTTATAAAAAAGAGCCGAAAAGGGACCCTATCTTTCCGGCTCCTGATGCTCATGACAGCCGAGACATGGGCAGCATCTTGTTGGTTGTGTCAGACGGCGTGGCGATGGGCTCGAGGAGTACATGTCGTGCTCTGTTTTTGTTGGTGAGGAGCTGTTGAATCGCTCAGGGTTTAGGGTTTAGGGATTGGATGTTGACTTCACCAAGCGCAAAGCCCTAAACCCGCAACTCTAAAACAATAACCATTACGGTAAAAAAAATGCGCCTGGCACAACCTGTGCATTTCAAACCAAGCAGCCTCTGACCTTCCCACTTCGCTTTTTTGAGCTCCACTGCTATCACAGATCCAAACGCCGGGACCAACACGAGTCAGAAAACAACATCCGACACCCTGAACACCAGAACCTCAAACATCAACCCTGCAGCCCCAAAGGCTGAAAGGCTAAACCCAGGACATTAGTGCATACACCCAGAATCGGAAACTATATGTATATATATATATATAAATGTGTGTATGTATTTTTTAGCCTTATAAAGCCTCACAACACCATGTCCTGGAAGTCCAGCTCCATGCCGCTTCCGGGATGAAAGGCAATGCACTCAGCCTACCAGGGTGTAGTGGCTGTCGGGGGGGGGTGAGGTTTAAGATTTAGGGTCTAAGGTTCAGGGTTTAGGGTTTGGGGTACTAGTTTTTTAAGGTGCGTGTGTCCACACTTTTCGTTTTGTTTTTGTGGCCAACCGCTTTCGGTCAGGCATGGTTTAGCTGTGTTGAGGATTCAAGCGTTTCGCTTTGAAGGCTTTAGTTGTAAAGGGTTTATGGGCTGGGTGTCCAAGGTTCAAAGACTCGAGGACCTAAGTTCTAAAACTGTGGTCACTGCAATGTGCGGGATATCTTGGGTTCGCCTGCAATCCAAACCATACAAATCAGTGCGTTATGCCGCCCCGCCCCCACACGTAATCAGCGAGTACACGCCTTTAACATGAGCAAAGTGGAGGCACAGGAAAGTTGCGAAGCCTTTTTGCAGTTTGCAAGATTGGGGATGTAGTCCTGCCACCTTTTATTGTCTATTATTGTCTTGCTCCTATGGCTGAGTGTGGTAATTCTTAGCTCTTGCTCGAGGCACAAATGCTGTGTTCGTATTACCACTTCTGTTGATGTGGCTACTGCTGTTTTTGTGATGAATCGCCGTCCTCCTTGTAACGTTGTGGTGGTGGTATTACAAGCAGAAGCACAAAGCAGTGGCAGGACTGTGTTGCCTAGTGAGCACTATCAGTAGCAGAGCGCGGTGCCCATCGTCATGATTGTCGTTGTCATGGTCTGCTGCTGCTGCTACTGCTGGTCCTGGTGGTGGGGGTGATGGGTGCAGTCACGGTGGCGGTAGTGGTGGCAGTGCTGATTGTGATTGGTGTTGCTGGTCATCGCAGGATGGTGCTGTTGCTGACGAATCACCAAACAAGACACGTACTTCTAAGAGCTCATGGGAAACTTGAATGTACAATCATTGAATAGCCCGCAAGACTCACGACTCGCGATGAGCCTTCTCCGCTGGAAAATGGCAGCAGACTTCCGCGGCCTCATATATAAGATGGGTTCAGTACTCATTACTGTAACTGTAGTATAATATAATATACCCTAATACCCTATTCTAATTATCAAAGCCCCTAATATCACATCGAGCTGCAGGGTCGCATGAGTTGTGAATTCTGGGACTGGAGGTTCTGGCTCTTGGGGTCTGCGGGTTGAAAGTGCCGGGGCGTCTGGTAAGCACACCCAAATCTTTGGATTTTGGGGCAGACCTTTCCATGAACGTGTAACGGGATATTGACTCAGGAAACCACGAAGGAGGGCTGGACTCTGAATTGCCCCAAAACGCTTCGTAAGCCGTCAACAACCGAAACAGAGGCCTCAATAATTGGGAAAAAGCTTCGGGCTCCTTTCTAGTATAAACATATTAAGGAAGCCTACGGACTGATATTGGTGAGTACAATATTTAGGTTTGATTATCAATTGTTTGCTGGTCAGCAGCTACGTAGTGTTTGTTCAATACAGTATACCCTCAGACTACTACGGAATGCCAAGTTGTCTTCGTCCTGGGTGTCACATTACCACCCTTCTTCCGTCGATGCGACCCCGAAGAGAACATGATCTTGACATCACGAAAATCAGTTTCGATACTCCCAATGCCAGCTTCCACCAGCAGTAAACCGTCAAAGAGGAGAACGCAGCCCTAGGTGTCCGCATGCAAATAGTGTGGTTACTGTTCACAGGACCTCCACCAATCCGCCATTTACTTGGAAGCCAGTAAATTACCATGCAGGCAGCAGGGCTCTTCAGGCTACAAGATGGAGGGAGGTTCAGTGTGCGCAAGAGCAACTTGAAACTGCATAGGGCTGAGGCGATGTTTGTTTCTGTCAACATGGTCTGCAAGGAGACAGTCAACGTGAAGTAGCATCAAAGTCACAGTGTGCAGCAGTCACGGTATTCCGTGGCTCCCGAGTGGCACTTCCGACGATGGTAACAAACCGGGTGCTGTACGTACGTCCAAATCTTGGGTCCTCCAAGGCCGCCATACTTCTCGGCTCCTTCTGGGCTAATGACGCCAATGGCACAAACAGTTACAGGCAGTCAAAAACAGATTGTCAAACCAACCGCATATGATATCCACGGAGGCTTCGACAACTGGTTCCGGATTCTCTGTCTGAACTTTTGCGTAGTAAAGCTTCTGACCGTCGTATCTGTGAAACGTCATCAAAGCGGAAGCTCCTGCAGGGATCAAACTGAGGCCGCCTGTGGGCAGAGCAAGGACGCCTCCCGCAATCACTTTCCAGATTAGAGCCTTCCGTGCTTTCGCTAGCTCGTCTTCTTCGGCTTTGCGCTTCTCGGCGGCTTTCGTCTCTTCCGCGGCGTTCTCGGCATCTTCCTTGCCCTTACTGTATCCGACGTTCATGCCTCTTGTGTAGCCACTTAATTCTCCGACGTTGTACCCATCCCGTCGCCCTGTTATGTACCCCAAGCAGAGTCCGCCACAAAGGATGTATCCTCGATTCACTCGCCAGAGTCTGGACACCATTGCGCACAACGGCCAAGGCGATGGGATCTAGGACTAGGCAAAGACAGATCGAAAACAACGAGATCTGGCTATTATGGGGTGGTTCGAGGTTGACGTGCGACGTATGTATACATGACAATGCTTACATCTCAAACTTTCGGGTTGATACAAAAGTACAATATAGTAAGAAACACAGTTCACCACTGAAGTTCACCACATGTTCTCGAATGGAACATTTCTGCACGAATACGGCTGAAATCTGTTCTGACGAACTGTTTTCCTCGTCATGTCCTTCAGTCTGACTGCAAACAATGGGGGGCGCTTGTGTGTTACCCCTTTGGGTGCGATGAAAGCAAGACATGGCATGGTGTTTGCGTTGGAGAACAACCCGTGCAATATGTTGGAGCATCTTGCAAGCGTGGGCAAAACCGTGAGCAAATGCTGCGTGTGAAAGTTTTAAAGGCGCAGTGTCAAGCTTGAAATGCATTCGGACGACGAGGTCGGCAAACGCAAATTCAGTCAAGTTAGCTGTCTCCACAGTACGCTTGCATTGAAGCGGTAATTTGGGCGATTTAGGCCCACTTCAAACATTGCGTGTCGTGCGGATGTGCCCGGAAATTTTACCATCGCCTTAAGGGAAGTCGTACTTGAAGGACCCATCGACACCTTTGCAGTGTTCCGAGGTGTGAAAGTTCTTCATGCTGTCATGGGCCCATCATGAGTCGTGAAAGTGGGCTCTGCACGGTGAGGAAACAAATTCCTACAACCCCACGATTTGAAAACAACTGCAAACACTGTTGAATGACTATTGTAAAGGTGAGAACTTATGAGGATGAAACCAAAACTTAAATCTACACACAATTGAGGATCGCTGCAACTACAGGATAGCCCAGCTGGAGGACCACGCAAGAATACGTGTGCATGGCTTCACAATAAACAGACACCAAGCCGAGTTCTGGTATAGTAGAACTACGTGCATCAGGATCACGAATAGCTCCGAGAATGCATGCGAGATGTTGTCGGTTTCAGGGTCCAGGCGTACACGATTGCCAAGGCTTGGAAAGTGCGAGATTTGCATGCCGACAGTTCCCATTGGAAAGCAGCAGAATTGATGCATGTGTGCTAATTACAGCATTCGGTGGTGCCGTTGCCGGGTCACCTTTTGTGAACGTACGAGCAGCCGGTGTGTGCGCACATGCAAATGACATATATGGTATGGGTATGCATATATTTATATATACATATAGATATATGCAAACATATATACATATACATATATACATAAATACACACATACGTACACATATAACGTACACATGAAATAATAGTGATGGCATTGTTTGAAATCAACAATTTAATGCTGGTTAAGTGGTTGACAGACTGACTATACTGACTGACTGCCTGCCTGGCTGACTGACTGACTGATTATTTGACTGCCTGATCGACTGTGTGACTAACTGATTGATTGATTGATTGACTGACTGACTGAATGGTGGGCTCATGATATGAATGATTAAGTGAATGAAAGAATTCATGAATGAATGAATGCATTAACAAATAAATTAATGAATGAATTAATGAATGAATGAAGGAATGAATCAATGAATGAATGAATGAATGAATGAATGAATGAAGGAACCAAGGAAGGAATGGATGAAACTGATTGGTTGATTGATGGATCAATCGATTGGTTGGTTGACTGGGGATAAGAACCTTAACCAAGTATGCCGACCGAGCGGCTAAGCCATCACGCACCATAGCGTCCACGTCAGGGGCGCCCTGCAAAGTCTAAAAACAAGCTTGCAGAAGGAGCCGAAACAGTAAACACATCGCTGGTACCTCACTAATTTCTGTGTAGAACGTGCCCCCCTCAAATATTAGCAGTTGACTCATGCATTTCGCTAGTTTGACGCGCTGTGCTTCATCCAAAGCCTTGACGTTGTTTGATGTTGCGGTCCGAGGCCGCAACTCCCTAAATCCCAGACCCCACTCCTCACTTCCATCAAATCCTCCACTCCTGACCCGTTCCGAGTTCCGAAGCTATGATCTTCCTTGTGCAAGCCCCGTAAGCAACCTAGTGCAGGAGCCTGAATAAATAGAAACGTGGTATAGTTTTTTTCGAATACTATGTGGTATCATATAAGGAATCCTAAGGACTATACTGTGGGTTTCTGTTTAAGCTTGTACCGTGATTAATATGAACTCGTATTTGTGTTGCAGGCATTAGGGTTACGGCCACCAAGCACCCTAGGCCCTACGCAGTTCCCTACCGAAGTTACTGCACATATACCGTACATCCTGTCTACCATCACTCAGAAACCTCCTTAAGCCTTGACCATACTGAACACACCTAATTTAGGGTAACAGGGGCCTAAATAATTACCTATACGATTTAGGGGGCTCTTATTTCAGTGATAACAGAATCTACCCCCAAAACCCTATTCTAATTCTGAAGGCCCCTATACATTACCTTGCCTTGCTGGGGTGTGTCTGTTACGCTTTTCGTATCCTTGGACCCCCGACCTGCTGTTGGAGCCACTCGACCCAGGCTGCAGCCAAGAGGGGCCGCCGAAGTTGGAAACTCGCGCTGACCGGGGCCATTCCTCGGGTTTAGGGCTTAGGGTTTAGGGTTTAGGGCTCATAGAAGGCCAAACCCTAAACCCTAAACCCAAACCCCTGAACCCCTAAACCCTAAACCCTAACCCCTAAACCCCTAAACCCAAACCCCCAAAACCCCAAAACCCTAAACCCTTTTCGGGTTCAGGCTTTCGGGTCTCCCGAGACTTCTCAGGCTTTTGGACACTGGGGGTGCCTGGGTTTAGGATCCGGAGCCGGGATTTGAGGGCTTCAGGGGCTTAGTAATTTAGGGGCTTAGGGGTATCTGGGATGTTTAGGGTTTAAAGGCTCAGGGGTTTAGGGTTTAGGGGTTTAGGGGTTTTGGGCCCTCAACATCAAGCCCGAAGACTAGACACCAACATCCTCAACGCGAAAACCCCAAACCGGAAGCCCTAAACCCTAAACCCTAAACCTAAACCCCTAAACCCTAATCCCTGCAACAATTCAGCAAAGCTGCTGAAGGCACCTCCTTTCGACTCCTCCTGAGCGGAAACGGTACGGTGGATTTTATCAATCCTGCATCGCCCATAAGAAGGAATCTACCATAATTCCCATACTTTAGGGTCCTGAAGGTACTGTAATGCCGGATATTATATATATATATATATGATATCATCCACAGTATCACGAAGAGAAAAGGTACAAATAAAATCCGGGGTTTAGGGTGTGAGTTGACGGTTTTCCCAGTCGCTCGAAATACCTGCTCCTCAAGTCATCTCATGAAGGGGTCATAACTCCAAACCCGAAACCCTAAAAGGGGTCATAACTATAACCCTAAACCCTAAACCCTAAAGGGGTCATAACCTATTATTCTGTCGGGTTTGGGGTTTCAGGTAGGCTAGGGCGGGGCTCTAGGGCTTATGATCTGTCTTTATGGTTTAATTGAAGTGTGTAGGCGTATTTAAAGCAGCAGCCTAGACTTGTGGGCTGTCGTGTATTTCCGGATTCACTTGGGCTAAGTGGTTCAGGGCTTCTGGATAGAGCTGCCAACAGAGCAGGAGCATGTAGGCTAAGAGTTTAGCCGCAGCCTGAAGACGAAACCATAAACCCTAAAACCCTAAAGCCCTAAACCCATACACCCTAAACCCAAAGCCCCTAAGCCCTGAACCCTAAACCCCTAAACCCTAAACCCTAGGTGCAGCTTAGGGAGTGGGGTTTACCTGGAAGTTTACCTCATGGTGAAAGGTTCAGGCCTTGCGGAGAACCCCGCCTGCACAAGTGCCCAATAAACAAGATACCCCCCCGAATAATAACCTACAGTACTACTTATAGTCTCCATTGTAGTTCCTTTTTTTGGTTTAACCAATTATATATTAAGGATTTTATAAGGTATCCCCAAAAAAGAACTACAATGGAGACTACAGGTACTACCTAAACCCAAGTACCTCATTATTGCGTCCCTTGGACCACTTTGGGCAAGATAAATCCTAAGCCCGAAGCTCCGAGCCCCGATACCGATTCTTGAACTACCTCCCGAGCATCAACATTGCACATGTGCAAATTATCCCCAAGCCATGCTCTCTATAAGATACTTATTATGGGGGCCTTAATAATTAGAATCGGGTTCTGGGGCCCATTATGCTATAGTTGTACTCAGGAACCCGCAACATAGTATAGGTAATTATTTAGGCTCCTACATTACGACCTCACCAATGTTCAGCTCACCAACACGCAGATCATGGGCACAGGATATGGCATGCCATAATATGGAAGTCAGAGCAGCTAGTGCTAGTATCCCTTTATGGTCCCAAGTGTAGCTAAAATACATATATATATATATACATATATATATAATATATATATATATACATATATATATATATATACATACACATATTATACCCGAAAAACCCTCTTCAAATGATGGAAGCCACTGTAGTACTTCTACGACTTATATGAGGCTAATTGGCGCGGGCCACAACGGACCAACAGCGCTTAGGGTCGTAGGTTTAGGGGGTTCAGGCATTAGGGTGTGTATAGAGAACAACTTCAACCGTCCTGAACACTGGAGGTTAAGCACCTAAACCTCTAATTCAGCCCTTACTCCTGCAGCATGACAAGCACAAACAAAAACATTGCTGCGAAAGGCGCTTCTCTTTTTGCTGACGAGGCACGTCTTGGCTCAAGGGGAGGAGATTGGCGTCAACCAGCGTCCTACAGCGCAGATCATCTGGATGCTCGCGCATGATTCGAAAGATCGATTGCCTTGATGCTGATACAGAGAGAGAGGGGGACAGAGAGGGAGAGAGAGAGACAGAGAGACAGATAAAGAGCGGGACATCACAGAGACAAAGAAAGAGGTAGAGAGAGACAGAGAGAGAGAGAGAGGGGAAGGGACAGAGAGAGGCAGCGAGCAAGAGTGAGCGACTGAGAGACGGAAAGAGAGACAAGAGAGGGCAAACGAA